TCATCATCATCAACGTACTCAGTGGCATCATCAGCGCCATCATCAACATCGGCATCGTCATGATTAACAACATCGTCAGCAGCAACATCATCAGCACCGTCATCCTCTCCAACATCATCATCATCAGCATTAGCACCATCAGCATCATCAACATCAGCAGCAGCATCAGCATCAGCATCAGCATCGCCAGCAACATCATCACCATCATCGGCAACAGCATCAGCCGCAGCATCGGCATCATCAGCATCATTGCCAGCGTCATCATCATCATCAGCATCATCATCATCGTCTGCATCATGATCAGCAGCAGCATCACCATCATCATCAGCAGCATCATCAGCATCAATATCACCATCATCATCATCATCAACAGCAGCATCATCACCATCATCATCAGCAGCATCAACACCATCATCATCAGCAGCATCATCATCACCATCATCAGCAGCATCGTCAGCATCAATATCACCATCATCATCATCATCATCATCAACATCAGCATTATCTTCATCATCACCGCCACCAGCATCATCAATAGCATCGTCAGCATCATCAGCGTCGTCGTCATCGTCATCAGCATCACCATCATCATCATCATCATCACCACCACCATCATCACCACCACCACCACCACCACCATCATCATCATCATCATCATCATCATCATCATCATCATCATCATCATCATCATCATCATCATCATCATTACCAGGATCATCATCAGCAGCATCATCATCAGCATCATCATCGTCATTCCATCATCCTCCCCTCCTCCCATCCTCGACCCTCGATCCGCCGCCTCCTCCTTATCCTCCTCCTCCCCATCCTCATCCTCCCCCTCCTCGTCCTCCTCCTCCTCCTCCTCCTCCTCCTCCAAGTCCTCCTCGTTCGCCTCGTCCACCTCCTCCTCCTCCTCATCCGCCTCCTCCTCCTCCTTCTCCTCCTCCTGCTCCTCCTCCTCCTCCTCCTCCTCCTCATCCCCCCCCCCCAACCACGACGAGGGGAGGTGGGGGGTTGTCCGACCCGAGCGGGGTGACGCGATGGGGCAGAAGAGTCGCGCGCTACAACGGTGGCGGCGGCGGTCGCTCGTTAGGGCAGTGGCGATCAGCTGGTTCATGGGGGACACCAGGTCGGTGCCTCGGTCAGCAGTTCGGCAGGAGGGTCAAGAGCAGAAGCAGGAATACATGGAGGAGGAGGATCGAGAAAGAGGAGGACGAGGGGGAAGAGGAAGAGGAGGAGGAGGAGGCGGAGGCGGAGAGAGGAGGAGGGGGAGGAGGAGGGGGAGGAGTGAGGATGGGAGGACGAGAGGAGGAGGAAGTAGGAGGAGGGGAGGAGGAGGCGGAGAAGGAGGCAAGGATTGGCACCACTATGGTACAGTCAGGGCGCCGGAAAGCGGGACAAGGACAGGCCCAGCAATTGGGAGCGAGACTAGCGAGCGCAGCACGAAGCCAAGAAGAGAGGGGAGGGGGCAGAGAGGAGGAGGAGTAGGAGTAGGCGGAGGAGGAGGAGGAGGAGTACGAGGAGGGGGAGGAGGACGACGACGAGAAACGAGGAGGACGAGACGGACGGGAGGACGAGGATGAGGGGGAGGAGAAGCAGAGAGGAGGAGGTGGACATGAGGAGGAGGAGGAGGTGGAGGAGGAGGAGGAGGAGCGGAGGCGGAGGAGGAGGAGGGAGGAATTGGAGGGAAAGCAGGAAAAGGCGGGAGGAGGAGGAGGAGAGAGAGTAATGAGAGGGGAGGAGAGCAGAAGGAGGAGGAGGAGGAGAAGGAGGAGGAGGAGGAGAGGAGAGGACGAAGAGGAGGAGGAGGAGGAGGACGACGAGGAGGAGGAGGAGGAGAAGGAGGAGAAGAGGAAGGTGGAGGGGAAGGGGAAGGGGGACGGGGACCCTTTTGCCGATGGCGAGGCGTTCCTTGGGGTATGTTGACCTTGTCGATTCGCGGGTGGTAGACGTGGACACCGAACCGACGAAACTCTACCGACGCGTGGCATGCAGCCGGAAAACTACGAACCTTCTAGGCATGCAGATACATGTTGGCGAATATCAGAAATCCAGGGACCAGCCGAACAGCATGGTAAAGGCAACTGTACGCAAGGAATGCATGAAAGACTACGATACCCGATCCCGGATCTTCAAGCACCTGAAAGCAGCAAAATAAACTTCGTGGACAATACGGAAAGTCAACTTCATCCCCACTGCCACCAAATGAGGCTGAGAGGCTCAGTGCGGAGGACCTCGTGCTGACAAGGCTCAAGGCGGAACACGCGGAGGGACCACCTGCACAACTACCAGGAGCAGCACTGCAGCTGCTGGAGATGGACGAGGACCACCAGCACACCCCAGAGGCACAGGACTCTGCCACGCTCACATAGAAACATCTGGAGCAGGTACGGCGACACCCCGACAGCGGGACCCACGACCCCATGCAAGAGAAGGTGTCATTGTTGCTGCACCTCTTTGCTGGACAACGGAGAAACAGAGACCTCGCAAGGACCACTGGGAAGATCTTGGTCATCAGCGTAGACGTGGCCAGCATCGAACAGAAGGGCAACCTCAACGACGGATAGGTAGTCAAGCTCTGGATCGATGCAATTTGCCTCGGCTAGAGGGCAGGCATGGTTGCGGGACCACCGTGCGATACATGGTCACACGCGAGATCACTGGCTGTCACATGCTGTGGAGCCCAAGTGCAACCTGGACGTAGATGCCAGACGTGCCGGAGGAGAGCATCGAAGCCAATGGGGTCAATGGAGAGGCCGTGGGGTGATCCGGTACTGAGACCCAAGGAGCAGGAGCAAGTGATAATGGGAGCAAGAGTTCTGAGACACCAGTACTACTCAGCGCCACCCACGCAGGGATGGAACACCCCGCACACGACCAGCGATCAGGCGCACCCGAGTTGTGGTCGTCTTCAGCTCGTCAAGAGGATGGCGAAGTCACTCGGCGTGAAGCCCACAGTTCCAGACAGGTACCAGACGACTGCCAGACAGGTGCCGTACCCAGTGCCACCAGACATCACGACACACTGCAGCGAGCTACCCACCCCGCTGCGAGCCCTGAGGAGCGGAGGGGGGTGCGACCACAGGAAGCCGCCAAATGCTGCAGGGTAGAGCAGCAGACGAAAGCCAGATGCCAGCGCTGGCCAAGCAGTACACGAGCGCCTTTTCGAAGCTGCTGGCAGCGACCCCGAGGACTAGCGCCGCGAGCAAATGGCCCGAGCTCCGCGGAAAGTTCGACTGGACTTTGGCGGGGCGCACCAAAGGGCAGGGGGAGGGAGGAAGGCTTCTTAGAAGGAGGCTGCTTCTTAAAAGGCGCCGACCCCACATCCGTAGACAAGGCCCGCGCCTTCTAAGAAGCAGGGGTGCCTCTACGAAGCCCTCCCCCTCCTGCGCGTGGCCGAGGACTGGGACGGCGTGGAGGAGAACGACGTGCACGTGACCTGCGACCCCTACCTGGAGGAGGCGCTGCGTGGAGGGGCACCATAAGAGGCGCCGCCCGCAGACCTGGGGTTCCCTCCTGGCCGCCGTGAGCTGCGTGAGGCGCTGGGACAACCGCGCCTCTCCACGGGGCTGCCTGGCCCCCTCCCTGCCCGTTCGCGGGGGCGCTCGCCACGAGGATCCGCCGATTGTCGCTGTCGCGCTGGTAGATTTGCGGCTGCTCGCCCTCCCGCACGAGGCTCGGGTCGGGCAAAAGGGGGGGATAGCAAAGGGGGGGGGGGAGAATCAGCTCACGTAGCTGATTTTCCCGGCGCCTCCCGGCGCCAGAGGCGGCTGTGTATCGAGGAATGGGCCCCTCGGTGAGGCCGAAACCAGCTGCATGCAGCAAATTTCGTAACCCCCCCTTTCCCAATCCCCCCCTTTCGTCCGGCCCGAGAGGCGCAGCATTGGCGGGTCGGCCAGCACTTCGACGCGCGGCGTGCTGGCAGACGCGAGAGCCCGCCGAGCCAGACCGAGGGGGAGGGCCAGGCGCCCCTCGGCGGTTCCGAGTCTGGGGCAGGCTCGTGGTGCCCTCTGTCACTTCTGTGCTGCTCTGCTTCTCTCTGCTCCCCTTGCCCTTGCACACTGTACTGGATTTGGCTGCGGCCCAGTCTTGCCGTCAGTTGCCAACTGACCGTCCGAGGAGGATCAGGGGGGAGGAGGAGGAGGAGGAGGAGGAGGAGGAGGAGGAGGAGGAGGAGGAGGAGGAGGAGGAGGAGGACGAACGAGGACGAGGCAGGCCGAGAAGCACGAGGGAGGGCGAGAAGGACAAGGGAGGACGAGGAGGAGGAGGAGGAGGAGGAGGGGAGGAGAGGAGAGGAAGTCGGCGGCATGAGGAGGATGAATGGAGGAGGAGGAGGAGGAGGAGGAGGAGGAGGAGGTGGAGGAATAAGGAAGAGTAATAATAAGAAGAAGGAGGAGGAGGAGGGAAGGGAGGAGGAGGAGAGGAGGAGGAGCATGAGGACAACGATGAGGAGGAGGAGGAGGAGGAGGAGGAGGACAACTAGGATGACGAGGAGGCGAAGGAGTCGAGGATCGATGTGATTGTGTTTGGAGCCGTTTGGGGCCGTCTCTGCGGAGGAATCCACCTCAAAATTCTGAACAGAGCGCACTCCGGAAGATGCTTGGGGGTATGAAAAAGACAGCTTCGGGCAGCTTTTGCGTTCCCAGCTGATTCTGAGCGATTCTACGGTCTTCCGTTGAGGGCGAACGAGACCCAGGGACCGAAGAAGTTCTAGGGAGATCTAGGGGGTTCATCGTAGAGCGCTCTGGGGAGGAGGGGGAGGAGGAGGAGGAGGAGGAGGAGGAGGAGGAGACGAGAAGGAGGAGGAGGAGGAGAAGGAGGAAGAGGATGAGAAAGAGGAAGAGCAAGATGAGGAGAAAGGAGAGCGGGAGCGAGGAGGGGGGGAGGAGGGCAACGGGCCGAATGAGGGCAAGAGAACGCGCGCGAGGAGGGACCGGAGGACGAGCGGCGGCGGCGCTCTCTTGCTCCTGCATTGTCGTGCGTTCCCGGGCCGCGAGCGGTCAGTGGTTCATTGAGAAGCTCTGCTGCTGCGGCGGCCCGGCGAAGCTCTGCGGGTGCGGCACTCCGGCGAAGCTCTGCGGGCTCGGCGCCCCGGCGAAGCTCTGCGGGCTCGGGGCCCCGGCGAAGCCCTGGTGCCCAGGCAGGAGGGAGCAGGGAAGTGAGACAGGAGGAGGAGGCGGAGGAGGAGGAGGAGGCGGAGGAGGAGGAGAGAGACGGAGAGAGGAGGAGGAGGAGGAGGAGGAGGAGGAGGAGGAGGAGGAGGAGGAGGAGGAGGAGGAAGCGAAGGACCAAACTTAACGATGTTACAAAACACCCTTTCCGTCCCAAATCCCGTCCTCACACGTTCATTTTCGTCCTCCTTCTCACTACGAGAAGCGCCCCCCTTGGAAAGAAAACCAGAGTTGGGTCTGCCAGTTTGGGGAGGATCCCGCTTTGAAAAAGCATCGTGTTGCATCGCACTGGCGCGTAATCTGGCCTGCGAATGATTATGATCAGCAGTTCAGCGAAGTGTCCAGCGAGATCCCTCTTTCAAACCAGGACCGCCCCCCCCACCAGTATAACGGTTGCACAAGCCTGCACTTATGGTCATGAACTTCGAGGCAGGCTTCAGCGACAGCTTCATTTTGAGAACGAGCCTCCATGGATCAGAGCAGCGCTACGCGCGTTGAAGCTTCGGGCCTCCGTTGACGTCTCAAACGATAAGTCCACTTCGAAAGCAATGATCATCCGTCCTGCTAAACGTTGCGTTCAAAACGAATGCGAGCAGCGCTGCGACAAGAGCCGCTGTTTCAAACCGACCAGTACTCAATTCCTAGAGATGAAGATGTTGAAACGAACGCTTGTGGATAAAAGCGACAGCCGCACTTAGAAACAGAGAGGCCCTCCATCAGTGGAGCCCGTGCTAACTTTTAAACGGATGATCGCAGCGCTCAGGCGAGAACGCCATATTGAAAACAAGCCCCCTTCCATCCGTGAAACTGTTGCGAATGTTTCAGACAAATCAACGCGGCGATGAAGCGGGAGCCACGCTGTGAAAAGAAGCCGCCCTGAATCCGCGAAGCTGCTGCAAGCGTTCCAGACGAACGCGCGCAGCCCTGAAGCGAAAACCACAACTTCAAAACCACCACCCCTGCATCCATCCGCGAAGCTGCTGCAGGGTGTCATGCGAGTGCGCGCGGCGCCGAAGCGAGAGCCCCCCCTCTTGCATTGAACCCCCCCCCTCTGTCCGCGAAGCCGTCGCAGACTACACACCAAAAAAAACGAGCGTGCGCGGCGCTGCGTCGGGCTCCGTGCTCGCCCCCGCCCCCCGTGCCCGCCCTGCACTTCGAGGCCCCGCACCTCGGCACCTTACGCACGGCCCCTCCTGGCCCGCAGCGTGGCGCTCCCTCGCCCCCCTCCGGCCGCTCCGGCCGCCCCGCGCCTCGGCGCGCCCCCTCCTCCCTGCGCCCCGCCCGTGCTTCGGCGCCCCCCGCCGCGGCTCGACCGCCGCGCGGCGCCGAGGCGACGGTCGCACCTTGAAGACCACCACCTCCTCCTCCTCCTCCTACATCCTCCGCCTCCTCATCATCCTACCTCCTCATCCTCCCCTCCTCTCCTCCTCTCACCCCCTCTCCTCCCTACATCCCTCCTCCTCCTCCTCCTCCTCCTCCTCCTCCTCCTCCTCCTCCTCCGCCCTCGACCCCGAGGCTGCTGCAGCACTTCGAGACGAGTGTGCGCGGCGCCAGGGCGAGAGCCACACTCTGAGGAGGAGCCGCCCTTCTGCTCGCGAGAACACTGCCAGCGGCTGCATTTCTTGGCTTGGCGAGTGTGCGCGGCGCGGAAGCGAGAGCCGCACTGTGGAAAGAAGCAGCCCTCCGCCCGTGAAATTCCTACAGAAATCCCACCAGCCCTTCGGGCTGAGGTGGTTTCGCGAGTTCTTCCTTCCGAATCCGAAAAAAAACCTCTTCCCTAGGGGAAGGGGTACCGCCCCTCCCCTCCCAGGGGTCTGGACAGGCGGGGGGCGGAGGGGTCAGAGCGCCCAAGATAGCCCAAGATGGCTCCAAGAAGGCCTCCGATGCTCCAGAGTGGCCTCCAAGATGGCTCAAAATAGTCGAAGTTGGCTCAATATGGTCCCCACATGCTGCAAGACGCCAAAATGCCGCTCCAAGACGGTTCCAAGTGTTCTCGGAACCCTCCCAGGACCCCCCAAGAAGCCCAAATCCAGCCCAAGAGGGCCCCAACAGGGCCCCAGAACGCCGCGAGAGCGCCCCAAGAGGGCCCCAAGACACGATTTCGAGGGCTCTTGGGGTGGAACGGAATCGAGAAGCCCCCACCCTTGATAAATAGCCTCCAAGGTGGCCTTAAGAGGCCCCCCGGGGCTCCCAAGAGGGCCCCAAGAGGGCCCCAGGACGGTCCCGAGAGCGCCCAAGAACGCCCGAACAGCGTCCCACGAGGGCCCCAATAGGCGGTTTGCCTTCTATTCCTCATCACCTAATCCACCTAATCGTACTCTACTCCTATCCTCCTCCTTTTCCTTCTCTCCTCCTCCTCCTCCTCCTCCTCCTCTACTCTCCTCCGATATCCTCTTCCTGCCCTCCTCCTCCTCTCCAATCCTCCTCCTCCTCATCCTCCTCCTCCTCATCACTTTCC